TAAATAAGATAGAGAAAAAACAGTTTTCAAAAAAAGAAAAGAAAAAGAAAGATATTGCCCTTGAGTCAACTCATTCTTCTCAGAAAGCCAGCGGAAGTAGAATTTTTTTTAGCATCCAACAGAATATGACTACAATAAGGCAATCCCTCAGATATTCTGGTCCAGAATTGCTTAGGGCTTTACAGTGGTACCTCGGGTTACATGCGCTTCAGGTTACAGACTCTGCTAACCCAGAAATCGTACCTCGGGTTAAGAACTTTGCTTCAGGATGAGAACAGAAATCGTGCTCCGGCGCCGCAGCGGCAGTAGGAGGCCCCATTAGCTAAAGTGGAGCTTCAGGTTAAGAACAGTTTCAGGTTAAGAACGGACCTCTGGAATGAATTAAGTACTTAACCTGAGGTACCACTGTATATGCTAACAGTAAACCTTAAATTCGACCCAGAAGCATAACAGCAGCAAGTCCTGTCCCATCACCACTGGTGTTATGTGTTGAAAGAAGGCAACCTGAGCCACAAGCTATGTCAATGTGTTCTGCACTGGCTGTAGCTTCCAGAACAACCATAAGCGCGGTCTCACATAGAGCGTAATGCAGGTTACAACTGAGGATACCATGGCATGGGCAATTGTAGCTAAGCCATCTGTGTTCAAGAATGGCTGTAGCTGGCACACCAGCTGTGGTTGGTAGAAAATATTCCTAGGCACCACATCACTTGAATATATATTGACCATGATGGATCAATGAGCACTCCCGGACTACGTACCTTTTCCTTCAGAGGGAGTGCAACTCCAAGCAGAACATGTATCTGACCTATATCCCAGACAGGATTCAGTCTCAGTTTAAGGACCCTGCATACAGACACTGCTTCTGAGCCACACCTGACTCAGATGTCACAGAAAAACAGAGTTGTGTGTCATCAGCATACTGATGACACTTTGCTCTAAGTCTCCTAATGACCACACTCTATGTCTTCAAACAGGTGTTAAACAGTGTGGGTGACAAGATGAATCCCTGTAGTGCCCCATATCATAGTTGCCAGGTTGTGGACAGGCAGCCCCTTAAAGCTACTTTCTGAAATAAAGAAATAAAGAAAGCTACTTTCTATAGGGAGGAATGGAACCACTGAAGAACAGTGCCCTCAAATGACATCTGGCAGAGTTGGTCTAGGTTTACCATGGTTGATGGTATTAAAAGCCACTGAGAGTAACAAGAGCCACACTTCCTCTATCCCTCTCTCAATTAAGATCATCCATTGGGATGGCAAAGGCCTCTCTAGGTCAGAACCCAGACTGGAATAGGTCAGGATCATCAGTATCATCCAAGAAGCCCCCACAACCCTCTCAATCATCTTCCTTAAAAAAGGAGGATGCCAGAATGGTTTCAGACTGGACACTAAATGGAGTAAAGATTATTAAGTGGAATTTAGGCTGGATCTAAGAGTGGACTCTTATCACTTCAGGCTACAGGAGGTAATTATAATCTTCAGATTCTAAGCTACTAGTGCTCCTTCTTTTTCCTGTTTGGGAATTGTAGACCTGACATGATATGTAAAAGAGGAAACAGCTGAGAAAGCTTGATGCTACTATTGGATTGAACTAATTCAGATTAACCAAATCACCGAATTAATTCAAAAGTATCTGAATTAAACCTGAAAGTGGTTCCTATAATTTTCAGGTGAACGGAATATGAATGAAGTTCCTTTTGCAGTGGAACTCTGGGTGATTTTAAATTTAATTCCACTGCATTTACCTTTTTTTATCTATTTGAATTGTGATGCTGCTGTTTAAGCTTAAAGGTAATAATTTCTGGAGGAAATAAATAATGCAATTTTTCACATTGCCCTGTTGTGCATTTTGATGTTTCCTCAACCTTCTTAAGTATATTTTATACTTCAGCAGAGCAGCTTGTAAAATTCTGAATGCTGGTTGTGTGGGAGGGTGTATGTCTAAAGGATGAAGACTATGTGAATGAATTGTGCATTGGAGGGGATGAACTGGAAATAGTTCCTTTTTAAAATGAACTTTCCAGAAATTTGGACAGACAGAAGTAAGCTTGTTCTCAGATCTCAGAATCATAGAAGCGTAGAGCTGAAAGGGACCCAAAGGATCATTCAAGTCCAATCCCACCGCAATGCACATCCAAACTTTTCTGCAAAATTTGGAATACACCAACCAACAAGCAGAAAGGAGAGGGGACCTCCTTTCCGGCAACCCTTCAATATCTATTCAGAGATCAAAGGGTATTTTCATTATACAACTAATTTCAGTTCATGCATGCAAACCAAATCTTAAAGCAGAGTAGAAGCACAGAATCCATTCAGCAAAACCCCTGTTGAAAACCCCATGAATGGTCTAGCTGCAATCTGACAATTTACAAAACTTTTGTCTTTAACTTCGACATTTGTTTAAACTTACGTGCCATATTGTGAAGTGCAGAAAGTAACAGACTCACTCCTGGCTGGGTTAACATGTGTCCCCAGGGAAGCCAGATGGTGTACTGTGGGATGGATTTATATGCCTTTTCTGGTAGGTACTTCTAGTTCAGTCCCGAGGGTCTTAAAGACTGAGAATGTTGCTGTCCCCACAGTCTAGCTTGGCCCTCTCTGGAATGTGTGATTGGAGTGCCATTGAAAACAATACATCCATAACACAAAGATGTGTTGGTCTCCCAGAACATAGATTGGATGCAGGGAAAGTTTCAGGTTTAGCTCCTTCATCTTTGTCATTGCAGAATATAAATGGTATGATTAAGGGAAATACTTGAGAAAATAGAAATATTTGGCCAATTCTGTGGTGCTTTAATTAAAATTAATACTATATCTTATTGGAGCTGAAAGCACAAAGCTGCATGTGTAGCTGAATATGTTGAACCAATTAGGCAAGCCAAATAAGACTGTCTAAACGTAATTGCAGACTTCTCCATTCCCCCACTACGTCAAGTATTGCTAATGCTATTATGCTTTTGACAGGTGGCCCCTGTTAACTGAGCAAATCAATAATATATCTGAGCCCAGGGAGAAGAAGGGGGAAACTCAAATACCATTTGCATTGCTGTCAGGGATCCCAAAACATTTCAGCTAAACCTCATTGTGTCCCTCTAAGCTAAGGTTGGCACCACTAACTGGCTTTTATGAAAGGTAAAAGTAAGAACACTGAGATTAAGAGCTTCCCTGGTATTAGAGCTGACTTAAAATCCCAGTGCAAACAAGGCATATATAGGCTTTAGATCAGTGTAGCACAACATCATAAACGATGGTTGGGGCGACTTGAAGGATGTACCTGTAGGCATTAATCTTGCTTTCTAAAGCTGGCTTTTACTCTGTATTTAAGGGCTCCAAGTGGAAAACCAGTTCTGCATAAGAATCTCTATGACTCACACAAAAGCGCTGGGGTGTGTGTGTGTGTTTCCTTTTTTACCCTATTGGAGAAAGTTGAAAGCAGCCAAAAACAAAGCATTCAATAAAAGAAGACAGCGCAGCCTTTCTGGAACCTGACCGTCTTGGAATGTAGGTCAAGTTAGGATGCTTCAAAGGGCCATAGCTCAGTTGATAGAACATCTGTTTTGCATGCTCAACATCTCAAAGCAGGGCTGGGGGGGGGACCTTGCCTAAAACCCTGGAGAGCCATTGCCTGTCAGTGTAGACAATACTAAGGTAGATGCTGACTCAGTTTATGTTAGCTTCCTATGCTCTTACTTTTGAGAATCCCCTCACAAAAATATTGTTACCCAAAAAACTAACATGCCAAAGAAAAGACTAAGCTGAAGGCCTTCTACCAAACATGCTCATTTTTCACAATGGCCACGAAGTTTTTTTGATGTGCAGGAGTATTCAAACGGGTGATCCGTCACCCACAGTCTGAAGTGATAGAGCCCAGAAAAGGCTGGACCATGTGATAATTTCGGAATAAGTATTTCGGCCTTTATCAGCTGGATGCAATTGTACACACTCTTACAATGGAGAACACCTTTGGACACAGTGCAATTTATTTCTGAGAAAACACCCATCGGGTTGCGGTGTAAAGATTCTTTCTCCTACCTTTAAGGAAAAGACCTATTGGATTTCAGCTGCTTCCTCGATCTTGATCAATTTATAGCACCGCTATAAATCTCTTGAGAGTTCAGTATTGCTTTGCCCAATTGAGATTAAGTGGACTTGAATGAGATGGCCTCCCCTCACCCTTCGTCTTCTGTTTGGCAATGGCAAACCAAGCCTTGCAGAACAGAGTGAGTGCCACAAGCCTTGTCTAAGCCTTAACCTGAAATACAGAATGACAGAATAGGAACACTGGAGGTGATCTAAACTTTATCCAGCCTCTTGCACTGAAACAAAATAAAAAAGGGGGCCTTTTTAGACTGTGTGGTGTTTGCTACAGTCCCACACTGAAGGTTTCTTGTCCTGCCCCTGGTCTGAGGTTTCAACATGAGGCTATGTGGTGCTAAAGTTATGCTCCCAACCCTTGCTTTGGGTAGCATACTCTTCAACATTTCTCCAATGAAAATAGGGACATCCTGTTCAATTTAAATAATTTATACCCCACCCATTTGACTGGGTTGCCCCAGCCACTCTGGATGGCTTCCAACATATATAAAAACATAATAAAATATTGAATATTAAAAAAAGCTTCCCTATACAGGGCTGCCTTCAGATGTGTTCTAAAGGTTGTATTGTGACTTATTTCCTTGGCTCGGGGGTCGCATAACTCCATACCCTCCAACATTTTCTGGTGGAAATAGGGATGTTATAAGGAAAAGTGGGACATTCCGGGATCAATTAATTAATTAATTAATTAATTTTTATTTAATTTATATACCGCCCTATACTTAGGGGTTTCAATCCGGTTCACAGAAACCAGGACAACTTCTGTAAATTTGGGACTGTCCCTGGAAAATAGGCACGCTTGGAGGATCTGGGGTAAGAAGGAAGGAAGGACACACTGAAGAAACGGTGGTCAGCAGCAGGGGACATATATGGCACCAACAGTAAATAGGATGAGCATTGGTGGGATATAGCTCACTGGCAGAGCAGCTGCTATGCATGCAGAATATCCCAGGTTCAATCCCTGGCATGTCCAGGTTTGAATGGGAAATAATTTTATTTTTTTGAAAAACTGAAAAGTTGTTGCCAATATATACAGAAAATACAGACCTTTTTGAACCACTGTTCTTCCAAAAGCAGCTTCCTATCTTTGCCTAATCTCTGTTTACATGTCCTCCCCCCAAAAAAACAACAACCACAGCATGGCCCCACAGCTTCCTACCCTATAACAGTGTGGCAAACAGCTCAGCACTAATGCATAATATGTGCTGGACGTGGCAAGTGGAAGATCAATGGGAAACAACAGCCTAAGGTAGGAAGCTCAGGTATTTGACCAACTTCCACATCTTTGGCTTTCCTGCGTCAAAACAGTTGGAATTTTGCCTGCCTGCATTACTTCTCTCTTCTTTGTACACAGCAACTACCCATGCCTGAACCCCAGTAGCGAAAGATGAGAAAACACTGCTTATAATGGATTGATCTGTGCATTAAGACTCTGACCCCCGCGAAGGAGGGCTGGTAAAACTGCAGTGTGTGCTTAACAATTAGTGCCTCCTTAGTGCTCGCTAACTGTTGTTTCTCTCTCCCTCTCCCACTTCATCCACTTTCACTGAATCACAGAGTTGCTGTCATCTAGGCAGTGGCGTTTGCATTGTTGATCAATAGGTGATTAACACTTCTGACGCACCCAAGGGTGTGTGTGTGTGTGCCTGAGCTTTGCTTATTACAGAAGTATCAAATTCCTCAGACCCACAATCCCAGCAACACCATCATTCTCCCCCCTTCATTTTTGATGACTTGTTCATATTGCCTCCTTATTTCTCATATCCGTACATATTGCAATACAATACAATACAATACAATACAATACAATACAATACAATACAATAAGCTTGTAAGAACACAAGAAGAGCCTGCTGGATCAGGCCAATGGTCCATCTAGTCCAGCATCCTGTTCGCATAGTGGCCACCCAGATTCCTGTGGGAAACCCACAAGCAGGATTCAAGCACAAGATCCCTTTCCCCTCCTGTGGTTTCCAGCAGCTGAAATTCGGAAGCCTTACTGTCTCTGACCATGGAGGCAGAGCATAGTGATCATGACTGGCAACTATTGATAGCCTTACCCTCAATGAATTTGTCTTTTGTCTCTTTTAAAGCGGCAGCTAGACTGGTGACTGGGAGTGGCCACCGAGACCACATAACACTGGTCTTGAAAGACCTACATTGGCTCCCAGTATGTTTCCAAGCACAATTCAAAGTGTTGGTGCTGACCTTTAAATCCCTAAATGGGCTCGGTCCAGTATATCTGAAGGAGCGTCTCCACCCCCATCGTTCTACCCAGATGCTGAGGTCCAGCGCCAAGGGCCTTCTGGCGGTTCCTTCACTGCGAGAAGCCAAGTTACAGGGAACCAGGCAGAGGTCCTTCTTGGTAGTGGCACCTGCCCTGTGGAATGCCCTCCCACCATGTCAAAGAGAAGAACAACTACCAGACTTTTAGAAGACATCTGAAGGCAGCCCTGTTTAGGGAAGCTTTTAATGTTTGATGCATTACTGTATTTTAATATTTTGTTGGAAGCCGCCCAGAGTGGCTGGGGAAGCCCAGCCAGATGGGCGGGGTATAAATAATAAATTATTATTATTATTATATTATTATTATCCAGCTTTGTGGCCATTGCTGAATCCAGTAGGAGAGAGTTCCATAATTACCTATACACCGTGTGATAAAACTTTCTTTTATGTGTCCTGAATCTTCCAAGATTCAGCTTCACTGGATGTCCATGAGTTCTAGTGTTACGACAGAGGGAGGAAAAAACAAAATCTCTATTCACTTTCTCCATGCCATGGATAATTTCATTAACTTCTACTATGTCACCTCTTACTTGCTTTCTCCCCAGCAATAATTCTGCTGAAATAAAATGGGCCAGATTTTGCTTTGCTCCCTTCTATCAAATAAGCAAGCTGGTAAACAACAAATACAAATCTTGCTCACTCGACTTCTTCCAAAGGCTTTCCGACCTTCTGCCTATGGTGCTCTGATCCCTTAAACGGGTTTCCTGTCCTTTGTTTGGAAGCACAAAGGTAAAGAAGGGCAAATGCACTCAGAAAGAGGAATGATGCTCTGGTGAATGAAAGGGAAAGATAACCAACAGCCCCCCCTCTACAAGTGAGTGTGGTCAAAGGCACAGAGGAGATAAAAACCACTCTATATGATATAACACTTTACCCTAGACTGAAATAGTGAAGCTGTGTTGAAGAGCTCCCCCGGGCAGTGTGTGTGTGTGGGGGGGGGGAAATCTTAGAGGACAAGAAAATGGAAAGAATAGCATAGCTGTCCAAAAACCGTGAAGGAAGATTTGAAGGCAGGTTGTCTCTGAATTTAGGTGTTTACACACTATGCAGCAAAGTACTCCAGCCATGCTGATAACAATTACAGAATGCTGATAACAATCATAGAATCATAGAATTGTATAGTTGGAAGGGACCCATGATGCGAATCGAGCAAGACTTTTTCCTGTATTTCTGAGTCACTAATATTACTTTAGTGCACATTCTCAAATTCACTGTGAATTAAAAGGGAGGGGAAGGGTGTTAAACCCCACCCCGATGTTATTTACTCAGTGCTGCTGACTTTAAAGGGTTTCTTTAAGGGCCAGTGGGTTATTAACTTCCTGTCGCCTGCCACAATGATATGCTGTGACATATTGTCACTGCTTTCTACCGAAGCCTTAAACATTAATTGGGAAGTAAGATGAGTGAAGCGGCTTTAATGAGATACCTTGTTGTAACTTCTAACTTTACACATTATTTACAGTGATTCCACTAATGGTTCCATCCATCAGAGAGGAGGAGAGGGAAGGAGGGTGCGGTGAAATGGGTAGAAGAGAGAGAGAGAGAGAGAGAGAGAGAGAGAGAGAGAAAGAAAGAAAGAAAGAAAGAAAGAAAGAAAGAAAGAAAGAAAGATGAAGAGAAATACCTGGCGTTAGCTACTGCAGAATGGACTGATGTTGCAAGCAAGAGAGCTTCAGTGCATTAAATATTTCTGCTGTGCCCTTTTTCATGCACACGTTCTTTCTACAACCTCCTGAAGAAGTATTAACAGAATTATCACCATTATTGTTCTTATTAGCAGTGGGCAGGATCCAGCTAACGTGCCCGATCAGCACAAGGATTTCCTCTTGCCCAAGAGAGCTTTCCCATTCTCCGCCCCACCATGTGCCTTGTGCCCTCTCCAGATCTGCTCTGGAGGATTGGGGGAACCTCTAGATAAGATTAGGGTTCACGTGGGGTTGGGGGAGTTGAGGGTACGTTCAGTTTTGAAGAGCAAATCCTTGCACTGAGCAAATGTGTTAGTCCGATACTAACGTTAGTCCTATCCATGTTTATGAACCACACTTCCTCCAGTTATGAGTTGGGGTGGGGGGTTATACTCTAATGCCTGAGTCCCTTCTAATTCCTGGATCTGGCAAGGATTCACTTCCTGGACTAGCCAGACCAGTTACCTGATGAGGTAATGGCCTAAGTATAGGTTGTTAAAGTTCCAAAGGAAGTGGCTCTGTGCTAGAGGCTAAATGGCTGCTTCCTCTTCCATCAATTTGCAGGGAGTTAGAGGGAGAAAGGCCAGAGTTCTGTGTGTGAGCTAGAAGCAGGCTGCAGGCTGAAACCTGTGAAAGAGAGACATGCTTGATTTCTGCTGGAATCCAAGGCTATGGGAGAAGCAAGACCCTCTTGGGGTGTTAATGCTACGAGCCCCTCCATCATAGGGGTGTCTTTAGGATACATTCAGGTTGTACATGTGTGTAACTAAACCACGTATCCTAAAGACACCCCAGTCTCCATGGTCCCTCTTCTTGAGGAAACCAAATCCCGAGTAAGTTATGGGAACCCCTAGAATCTCACACCGCTCAGAGATTGGGGTGGCATGCAACATTATTATTATGATGTTTATGAATCACCCTTCCTCTAGCCAAACTCGGGGCAAAATACAACAAAGGATAAACAACAAAATTATGTCAGTGATTAAAACAAATATAGAACTAAAATATTCACAAAATAGCAGTCATTTATAAAGAGAGACCCAGAAGGCAGAACATAATTCATTCCATTATTTTCTTTGCTTTTATATCACTGTAGCTCAGCTCACAGTGCCGGTTAACCTCATTAGAGGATAAAGGGGTTTTGTTACAGTGCTGTGCTGAAATCTGTCCTCTGGTTTCTTGAAAGTTTTCTTCCCTGGCTTTCATTTTTCTGCTCAACTCCCAGGGAACTTTAGAATTTCTCTCAACGTTCCACAGGTGTGGGGTTTCAGATTACCTTATTGTGTGGTGCTGTGGGTGGTTGTTTATGTTTTTTTCCTTTCCAGCAAACATTTCTCTAGTGCTCTGCAGCCCCCCGGCTGTTTCCACTTCCAAAACAACCCATGGAGGACTTACCTCACAATGTCTTCTTCTGGGCTTTAAGTGAAGCCTAGGCACTTGGGGAAGCTGCAGAGTGCAGGCCGTCAGAGAGGCCATTTTGTAGAACCAAAGGCAGGATACTCACAAGCATACTTTGGCTACCTCAGAAGTATGGCAAACACCACAAAAACACCTGCATCTCATCCATCAGAGTTTCACCCAAAATTTATCTCCCCTTTGACATTTTTTGAATATAGTTTATTTTCTTATTTATTGATGAAGGGAAAAAATGACAGAATGTTTTGGCACAGTACTAGTTTGTTCTTCCTTACCAATATGTGAATACCAGGGGTCCTCACCTGTCCTCCCATCAAGAGCCCACAGACTTTGTGAGAGGTTCTCTCTGGGTTTAGGCTCTTTTGGGGTGCAATACAAATTGAAACCGTCTTCAAACCAGCTTCCAGTAGCATCCCCTCAAAAAATATTAGAAGTTGTGCCTTTGTAAAGAAATTGTTGTCAGAAACCTCCAGGGCTTCCACAGAACTACGTTTTTCAGTGGTGTCTGGCTGAGGTCAGCTTTTAAACTGGCTGCAATGTCTGTATGCCCTCAAAGATGTATATGGTTATCGGGCTGGATCCTGAA